ATACCATGTCAATTTTCAGCTGAATGTCTCTCAAAGTGAGAGAGTCTTTCCATTATATAGAGAAAATAAAGATTACACATCCCTAAAGATCCGCCATTCCTATCCCTAAAGATCATCTATTCTATCTATACAAATCAGCCATTGAATCCCTCTAAATCTGCCTTGCTATCCCTCCAAATCAGCTATTCTATCACAATATTTATTCATATGATTCTACAACAAATGTATATGATCATGCTAATTTATATCACTATATAATTACATTAATATATACAATCATTTAGTTGTCTATCATGCTAACACATTTGAAGCCATATGTCAATACAACTAAATGTCAAACTTGCAGAAACAACAAACCTTTACGCCCCTCCCAACTTTCTAACGACACTTCCTCTTCTATCATGTTAGTATTTTCTTGGCTCTCTTGAAGCCACCTTAAGCACAACGTTATATATGGGTGATATTCATCAATTTTTTGTCCGAACTTGAGGCAAAGGACCTGAAATACAAATATATAGAACTTCAGACATTTTCTTTGTTAATCTATCATAGATAATGCTGCATAATTCAAATAGACAACATTTACTTTAAAATTTAAACAAGACAAGTAGTCATAGGAGGTCACATTAATAAACTTAACAAATAACACGAGCAAGGGAAGAATTTGGCCAGTTTCATGCTGAATAATAACCGACATTTGCTTTCTCTTGCTGGTGAAGTCCAAAGGATTAGAATTTTGCTTCTTTGATTGAGAAAAGTTGGACCAAGTGTGAAGAGTCAGAATATATCCTACTTACAGTGTTGCTTCCTCCATGGCCCTTCACCAAAATGTAAACTAATTCAGCCTCAATTTAAAGGATGAGACAACCTGGCAGCAAGGTTACAAGTCAAGTTACAGGACAAACTTTAACAAGTGAAGTTCCGTAGGTCATGACCCGCAGGACCCCTCAGAACCCATCCTCTGAAGTCGATTGACGGACTGACAGGATGGATCGTGGATCAATCCACGGATCGTCGATCAGTCCGTAGGTCGAGACCCTCAAGACCCCTCAGAACCCATCATCTGAAGTCGATCGGCGGACTTACAAGACGAATCGTTGATCAGTCCACGGATCGTTGATCAGTCCATGGATCATCGATCAGTCCGTAGGTCGAGACCCTCAGGACTCCCCAGAACCCATCCTATGAAGTCGATTGACGTACTGACATGACGGATTGTGAATCATTCCATGGACAGTCGATCAGTCCGTAGGTGGCTTCAGTAGATTTTAAGTCAGTGGTCATTTGGTCTTTTCCTCATGCGTTGGACCCCTAAACTACGTCATGTAACTCCTAAACTACGTAGTTTTGGTCAGTTTTAGCCTAATAAACTAATTAGAACCTAACCTAATCAATTATTCACCAAAAATTCATCAAACCTAGAGGAAAATAGAGGAAAAGGTCGAGCAACCCTAGTTAAAAAACGCAACGAGTTTTCATCAGTTCCAGCCCCGAAATAGAAAGAAATCTCCATGAATTTCGTCACCAGGTATGTGGGATTTCACTTAGTGGGTTTCTTTCGCCCATTAGGTCTCTAGATTTCAATCAGATTCTTGATTCCCTTGATATTATCTAGACCAAGGGTTTCTTGAATGTTAGAGATTGTTGGGTTTTAGCTGTTTGAATTATCCAAATCATATTATCATGTTGTTGCTTAAGTTCTTGCATGAAATTCAGAACCCTAGTGGTGTAGATTCGTTTAGTTCATGAATTACACTTGCTAGGTTAGTTTATTCAGTTATACATGCTCCAATTATGAATGTTTCATTATCAGTACATTAATGTTGCATTCTCATATTTGCATGTCAGTATTTTGAGCTATCCAGTATTGCAGAAATTCAGTCATAATGTGTTATTTACATAATTAATTGGGAGTAGCTTAATACCAAGTGGACTAGGGTCAGTCACCCTCAAGTCCCAGAACTGCGTGCCCCGTAGGTTGTAAGTCCCTTCTGTGGGCATCATTTTAGTGATCACGTCATTCATGCCTTTATACCTCTAGCAGGGTATATTGGGTCATCTTGATGGGGCGTATACATCGGACTACACATTTAGCTCATGTGGTTTTATGTCATTTAATAGTAGCTCCATTACCGTCAGTTTCTATTGCATTGACCATGTTATCAGTTACATACAGATTCTATTGCATTGACCATGTTACCAGTTACAGTCAGATTCTATTGCATTGACCATGTTATCAGTTACAGTCAGATTTCAGTCTCAGCAGTCATAAATTTGGTAATTGCTTTTAGTTAGTTCATATTCGGTATTCTCAGTATAGTATCATACTTATCTCTTATCATTACTCAAATATATGCTTTGGTTCAGTTATGTTTATTGTTCAGCTTTATTCTATCATGCATGCTCAGTACCCTTCAAGTACTGACGCATACTATGTGCTACATCTTCTCGTGATGTAGGTTCAGGTTCTCAACTTCCAGATCATGCGTAGATCAGTTCCCGATCTTCAGCTCAGCAGTATTAGCGGGGAGTCCTCATTCTCTGAGGATGATAAACATGTTTCCTTTGCTTTTAGTCTTTAGTTTCAGTTTTGCTAGATCTAGCTGGGGTATGTTTCAGCATTTCTAGTCAGTAGAGGCTTTATTTCAGACATAGTTAGATTCAGTTTTAGTATTTGAGTTTGACTTTTCAGTTGTTGTTGAACTCTCAGTTCTTACATATTCAGATAGTTTATAGGTATTCCCCGCACAGTATTTCCTTACTTCAGTTTATTTAGTATGCTTATGATATGCCCGCAGGGTTAGCTTGGGGTCACTCGTGATCATCGGTCCTGTGTCCGTGTCCTGGGGGTAGCCTCGGGGATTGACATATATCATGAGTTAAAGCCAAAATAGACATGAATAGCATTCAAGTTATGAGAGAACAGAAATCAACCCTATAGGATTAAGCTAACATGGATGAGAATCTATAACAATGAATCAAAAATGAAAGAGAAGACAGCCAAAATTACGAATAAGCAATGAAAAAACAAATTGTACAACCAGTGTACTCAAAATCACAACCAAACGAACATTTGTTCATTGTGAGCAAAACAAGACGGATAGATCAAGTCAACAAATTTAACGACTAACATCTAATACGCCATATATTATATAGATCACCAGAAAGAAAGGCTAAGCAGCTCATTCGAATAACGATACTTAAACACTGACTATATCAGAGGTAAATAACCAATCTAAATGCATGATTCCTCCAATAAAGAAAGCAACAACTAACTTCTAGGCTTATCATTCACTTAAACCACAAAACCATTCAACCCAAGAGGCTTCTTATACGAGTTTATAACGACATGATAGAAAGCTGAAGGAAGATCAATCAGAAGAGAGGAGAAAGTAACAATTTTGAAAGAAAACAAGAACTGAAATAATATAAAACAAACTAATATAAACAGAAGAGTTCGAAACCAAATATGATGCAGCTATGAAGGCCAGAAAATAAGAACAGTAACAAGTTAAGGTCGCGAAATCAGTTCAGAACATTTCAAACATCCACACACTTAAATGTTTCATACAGTCGAGAATTAAACATGTCAAAAAATTAGGAACAAGAGATTCATGAACTGAAATGAGTATTACCTTTTAGAGGGAAGGGAACTGAGACAATGAACCACGAGAGTTTTCCACGACCCTTGATTTCTAATACGAGAAGCGAAACCAGGAAACTCGAGTGAAATCTTGAACAGTAGTCTTCTGAACTTCGGATGTGAAGCGAAGGGGAATTATATAGGCGAGAAATTTTAGGTTAGAGTTTTAGTATGACGACTCTCAGATTATGAGGATGCATTGTTTAGACTTTTGTTGTTTATTATTTATTTATATGGAGATTTCTAATTTTGTTATTTTATTTCTATAATATCTTTAGATATTTAGATATTGCATGAGATAGATTGATCAATACATTATGTAAATTAGATTATGAGTTTGGAAATAAAATTTATTCCCACAAAAATAAAATAAAAAAGTCATTGAACTTGACATCTCCATTACCTCTTTAGTTCAAATATACAACCAATTATCTTGAATTAAATAAGCAATCACAAAAAGGGAAAAAGATAGAATAATTTACCTAATCACAAGATAATAAGAAAAATATACAATAGTTGTTCTTTTTTTCTGCCAAATGATTTGGAGGTTCTTTTAAGAGAAAGAAGGAAATGAGTGATGAAGCAAATGTGGGGTTCTAGAATTCCTCTTGCCCTCCCACTTCTTTTCTTCTTGGATGCGCAAGGAGGCAAGAGATATGTGAGTGAAAGAGTGATGTCATATCGTACCGCGACGTCGAGTATTAACACGAGACTCTTTGATTTTGGTGTTCATGCAAACAAAAGATAGGAAATAAAAAGTTAGAGAGGACGATTAATCTCTAATGATGTATATAAAGTAAGTAGATAATGCTAAAATGGTATACTACATTTCATTTTCCATAATAAAAAATAAAGCAATTCACGAGACTAATTACAACACGATGCATTTGAACACACAATAAGGGTGTGTTTGGTATGAAGGAAAATGTTTTCTTAGAAAATGTTTTTCTGGAAAACAAGTAGATTTTTTACTTATTTTCTCATGTTTGGTTGGTGAAGTAGAAAATATTTTATGGAAAAGATTTTTAGTGTCAAGGGTAGAGGTGAAAAAATAAAATTTTGAAGTTGAAAATATTTTTAAAAAACAAACTCAAATTATTATTTTTTTTTGGGGGGGGGGGAGGGTATTGGAGGGCTGGTTTGAGGGTAGGGATAAAAATAAATTGATTTTTTCAATAAAAAAAATTGTAATTTGAAGTTGGAAGAGAGTTTTGGAAAATGTTTTCCTAAGTTTTGAAGGGAAATCATTTTCCTTAAATTTGAGAAAAATGAGTTGATTTGGAAAAACATTTTCCAAAAATATTTAATCCAACCAAACATGAGAAAATTGTAAACATTTTCCGAAAAATATTTTCCTTCATACCAAACACACCCTAAATCATTTACCGCTTCAAAATAGATTTAATAATCTGAAACAAACCTTTTGTTTTTCCCTAAATGATTTGAAAATGTGAAATAACTATAGTCTCCTAAAATACAACTTTGTGGAATGAAAAAAAAAATAAGAAGAAACTTTAACTGAGTTATTGTGATATTCTAAGAATTAGAATTGTATTTATACGAAGAATACATAGTGTAGAAAATAAAATTAACTAATTAACTTGAACATGGTATTTTAAGTGCATGGTCTTTAATTCATAAATAAAGATTACTCAAAGGTCTACATTTTTCATGTTTAACAAACAATTTTTTTTTTGCTTAACATGTAACTTACGAGTAAGGATGGCAATTTGGATAGGGCAGGGCGGGGTGGGACGGGATAAAGCCTATGGGGGAAGGCGGGTCAAAAACTTCCAAAGCAGAATATTGCAACAGCAGAATTGAACATACAAATCAAAAAATAATGAGCAAAAATTGAAAAAGAGGGTAGGATAGGGCAAGGCTTAATAGGGAGTGCAGGGTAGGGAAAAAAAATTAAAATATTAAACAGGGTGAGGTAGGGTGAATTAAAATCTTAACGGATCTAAGACTTTCCCTACCCCACCCCGCCCCAATTGTCATCTCTACTTACGAGATAAAAATACCACAACAAATTTCAACAATTTGAGTTCGAAACATACATAATCTTCGCTATTCAAAAAGACTAGAAGAAACGGATTTTTGTCTATTTTTATCTTTACCAAGTCATTACTCTTAAGATAAATAAAACTTTCCACTATTTTACTCCATATTTAGCACATACTCGTAACAACAGCTATATGAATGCAAAAATAAAAGGGGTCAACTATAAATAAGAGAAGAGTGCTTACTTTGCCTTGGCACTTAAGGGATGAAAATGATGATTATCAATGGAGAAGGCCTCAAGTGACTTCATAGATACACTTAATATGTAAGAATTGAAGAGAATATTGAGAAATTTTTCCTTGTTTTTATTCACTGTAAAGCAACATATTTATACAACTACTGTGCAAGGAAAGAAAATAACAAACTATACAGCTGGCTAAACATCATTTGTCCAAAGAATAACTAATTCTATATTCTGTACAAAATATCCTGTGCAGGTGTAAGGCTAGGATTTATGCCAACACTTTCTGATCCAATGGATGAGATGGTGCCATCTGTCCTTCTAGAAGATATACATCTTCTTGTCTTCATTTCATTAGAATCAGATTCTACCGCTTCTCTGTTCATCTTGAATATCCCTTGTTCTTCATCCACGATGTTACTGCTAAATCCAAGACCCCCCTTCAAGTTGGAGGGGACTGAAGAGAGACCCAACTTGCAAAGACAACGAGAGTGGGAAGGACCAGACAAGGGTTTAGTAAAGATGTCGGCGAGCTGAGAAGAGGAAGGGACAAACTTTAAGGAAATTAAACCGGCGGAGAACTGTTGACGGACGAAGTGACAGTCAAGTTCGACGTGCTTCGTCCGTTCGTGGAAAACAGGGTTGCGGGTGATGTGAAGGGCAGCTTGACTGTCGGAATGGATGGGGATGGGTAGGGTAGGTGAGACGGAAAGATCTGTGAGAAGGCGGTGAAGCCAAGTCAATTCGGCGACAAGTCGCCGCATTGACTGGTATTCCGCTTCGGCAGAGGACAAAGACACAGAGATCTGCTTTTTAGACTTCCAGGAAATGGGAGAACCACCGATGCTTATAAAGAAACCACTGATAGACCGACGAGTGTCAATACACGATGCCCAATCGGCATCGCAAAAAGCAAGGAGAGAAAAGGAAGGAGTTGAAGAAAAGAACAGACCTTGGGCAGGGGATCGACGGAGACAGCGAACAACACGAAAGGCAGTAGTGAAATGGGGAACACGAGGATGCTGCATAAATTGGGAAAGATGTTGAACAGCGAAGCAAAGGTCTGGGTGAGTATGAGTCAAATAATTCAATTTACCCACAAGTCGGCGATAAGTAAAAGGGTCAGCAATGGGGTCGCCAGAATCAGAATAAAGCTTACAAGACGAATCCAATGGAGAAAAAGACGCTGGAAGGTGGTCACAATCATATTCAGAGAGCAGATCAAGAGTGAATTTCTGCTGACATAGGATGATACCTTGAGGTTCCCGAATGACCTCTAATCCAAGAAAATAATGTAAGTCGCTTAAATCCTTAATCTTAAATTCCTTATTCAAAAAATGTTTCTACTCTGCAAGCTCAGAAGGGTTGTTACCAGTGAGAATGATGTCGTCGACATATACGGCAACTATAGAAATAGAGTCTCCCACTAGTTTAAAAAACAAACTATTGTCATTGAGGGAAGAACTGAAACCCTTGAAGTTTAAAGCAGCTGTGAGACGAGAATACCATTCTCGAGATGCTTGGCGTAAGCCATACAGAAATTTGTTTAGCTTAAGGACATGATTAGGGCCAAGACTGTTCATACCAGGAGGGAACTTTATAAACACTTCCTCCTGTAAATTGCCATGCAAAAATGCATTGTTAACGTCCAGTTGAGTCAAAGTCCAACCTTTCTTAACAGCAACAGCAAGTAGACACCGAATAGTAGTCATTTTGACTACAGGGGAGTAAGTTTCATTAAAATCCACTCCTTCACGCTGAGTATCCCCTCTAACCACCAAACGAGCCTTTAGTCTTTCCACAGTCCCATCTGAGTGATGCTTGACCTTGTAAACCCACTTACAAGCAAGATCCCTCTTACCAACAGGAAGTTCAACTACTGTCCAAGTTTGATTAGCCTCTAGGGCATCAAACTCGGATGTCATGGCTTGTTGTCAACCAGGGTGTTCAGCTGCCTGAGAGAAGCTAACTGGTTCACTGATGTGAGAAATATATTCAAGTACCTGTTGATTAATAATAGAAAAGCAAAAACATGCAAGGTTGATGGAACAACAGGATCAATAAAATGTGAAGAGAGATCAGTTAGGACAACAGAATTGCACAAGTAATCATTTAGATAACTAGGAACTTTACTGGTCCTAGTGGATCTCCTAGGGGCAGAAGAAATGATAGAGGATGAGGGGGTGTCAGTTAAATCAGAAGCATCAGTAGAAATGATAGGTTCAGTAGGATGTGAAGGAGGATTTGAATGAGGAGAAATAGGGGGAGAAGTAGGAAGAACAGTACCATCAAATGGGTCTGGCGAAAAGGAAGAATGGGGAAAAAGATGTTGAGTGGAAGAACTAGAGGAAAAGGGAAAGATAGACTCATGAAAAGAAACATCTCTAGAGATAAGTATTTTTCTGGTAGATAGTTCGAGGAGTTTATATCATTTCTTGCCTTGAGGGTAGCCAATGAAAATACAAGAAGTGGCACGAAGAGCAAACTTGGGCCTATTATGTGATGGAGTAGATGCAAAACATAGACAACCAAAAGTTCTCAGAAAATCATATGAAGGAGGCTTCCCAAAAATAACTTGATATGGTGTCATACCCTTAAGAATAGAAGAGGGGAATCTATTTATCAAAAATGTGGCAGTAAGAAGACATTCACCCCAATAGCATATAGGTAACTCAAACTGATGTAAAAGGGCCCTAGATGTTTTCGAAAGATGTCTATGTTTCCTCTCAACGATGCCATTTTGTTGAGGTGTCCCAGTGCAAGAGGTTTGGTGAATTATCCCCTGTGAAGCAAGAAACTCAGAGGATACAGTACCACTCCCCAATTCTAGAGCATTGTCTGATCTAATAATTTTAACCTTGCAATTGAACTACCTATCAACTAGAGATAAAAATGCTTGAGCATAAAGAAAACATTACCCTTGGTGGAAAGAAGATAGGTCCAAGTACATCTACTAAAGTCATCCACAATAGTGAGAAAATACCTATAACCATCATGAGTAGATGACTTGTAAGGTCCCCAAGTGTCTATGTGAATTAGCTCAAACTTATGATTAGTTTTAAGAAAACTGTTGGGAAAGGGTAATTTAGATTGTCTAGCTATAGGACAAATATCACAAGGACAATCAACATTAGGCAAAGAAGAAAGGAAACTCATAGATTTCATTGAAGAAAAGGGTAAATGCCCCAATCTATTGTGCCATAGTCTTACATTAGAACTGAAATTTGAAGAAACTACATTACTAGAAGAAACTGCATTACATTCTGGAATTGAAAGACTAGAAAATAATCCTAAGCTATTCTTAGAACTACATTGAAGAGGAGAAACTGGTGACTGGAGGACATAAATGCCATTTCTAGCTTGACCAAGAACCTGAGGGGTCTTCACTAAAAGGTCCTGCATAAAACAGTGAATAGAAGAAAAACTTAGCAGACAGTGATGTTGTTTGCAAAATCTATTGACAGAAATCAAATTTATTTTGAATGAGGGAACAAACAAAACATCATGAATAATCATCTTGGATGAAAGGGAAACAGACCCCCCATGAGTAACCTTGACCTTAAAAGAATTAGGAAGACTGATAGTTAAGGGAGAGGGAAGAGGATGAATGCTGGAGAAGAATTTAGTGTCATAGGACATGTGCTCAGAGACACCAGAGTCAATGATCCAAGAATCAGTACTCACATAGGTAGAATAATCAACAGGGATATGAAAAATATTACCAGCACAGTGAACCATATTAGCTGCCACTTGTGAGATCAACTTCTCTCGGTCTCCAAGATCAGCATGCTTAAGCATTTGAAGTAAGTAATTAAGCTGCTGATGGGAGAATGGGTTCCCATCTACTTCAGCAAACACAGTGTGCTGAGCATTAGGAGTTCCCAAGACTTCATTGCTTTTGATTCCCACCTTGAATTTTGGACTCTTGGTGAACTGAAAATCAGCAGGAAATCCAATTATCCTGTAACACTTGTCAATAGAATGTCTTGGCTTCTTGCAATGAGAGCAAACCAAAATGTTCTTTTTTCCCTTGTACTCATAAGCTTGAGATTTGTTACCAAGAATAGGCTGCTGGACTGCTGAATAGGAGGATAAGTCAGCAGGAGACTGAGGATTGTAGTAGATCTCTTTCTGTTTCTCATATTGGATTAAGAGAGAGTAAGCCAGGTTCACACTAGGTAGTGGAGCAATCGTGATGATATTGCTTCTTACAGATCCATAGCTATCATTCAAACCCATTAGAAATTGAATGAGCCTCTCATCTTGTAGAGATTTCTGCCTCTTATTCTTTCCTCCACAAGTGCAGTTACATGTACAGATCATAGAACAGTGGAGAGCATCAAGCTCATCCCATAATAGCTTGATTTTAGTGAAGTAGCCTGCTATATCACTAGTACCCTGTACTAAATCACTGATCTCTTTTTGCAGGTGATAGAGTTTGGCACCATTAGACTGTCCAAATCTATCCTCAAGATCAGCCCAAAGGCTTTCAGCACTCTGTGAATACAGGACACTAGCTGCTATTTCCTTAGAGAGAGAATTCAACAACCAAGATGTCACCATGTCATTATAACGATTCCACAGCCTGAGGTTGATTGAACCAGCAGCAGGTGATTTGCAACTCCCATCTATGAAACCAAGCTTATTCTTGGCTGAGAGTGCAATGAGGAGAGCCCTCTTCCATCCTGCAAAACCATGACCATCAAAGATAGTGTTGACGAGGATCATGCCAGGAGAGTCTGAGGGATGAAGAAAAAATGGATCATTAGAATCCATAGTTGGAGATCCAGAAGCTATGACTGTCGCAGCAATGGGAGCTTCCTCAGTACTGGGCATTTTTTGGATCAAGGGAGAAGAATAAAAAAAATAGAATGAAGAGGAATAGGATCAAGAATTAACCTATTGCTTTGATACCATGTAAGAATTGAAGAGAATATTGAGAAATTTTTCCTTGTTTTTCTTCACTGTAAAGCAACATATTTATACAACTACTATGCAGGGAAAGAAAATAACAAACTATACAGCTGGCTAAACATCATTTGTCCAAAGAATAACTAATTCTATATTTTGTACAAAATATCCTGTGCAGGTGTAAGGCTAGGATTTATGCCAACACTTTCTGATCCAAAGGATGAGATGGTGCCATATGTCCTTCTACAAGATATACATCTTCTTGTCTTCATTTCATTTGAATCAGATTCTACCGCTTCTCTGTTCATCTTGAATATCCCTTGTTCTTCATCCACGATGTTACTGCTAAATCCAACATAATAAGCAGTTGTCATCTTCATCTTTGTGATCTTTGTCTTTATGCACCGTGAAGGACGCCATTATGTACTTCCAGGTTCATCAACAATCACCAAAAAACTTCCTTTTCCAAGGCAAACCAAACTGGGGTAGTTTGGCAGACCTTCTGGAATGTGAAATTTATCTTCAAGACTAGGTGATACAAACAAGGTTTGACAACCAATATCATATCCATACAAACGCAGGTTGATGGTGAACCAATAGAATGTATTGCCATCAAACATCCTGTCAAAATTCATGACAACATGACCTAGATGATTGGTGCGACTAAAAGCTTTGGTATTGCCATTAAGACAGAAATCAGGGGCGACCTTCACCGTTTGTTCACAAAAATTGAAATACACCTAAAACTTTTAAGTCCATCCTTAGTTAGGCAGATATTTGTTATTAAGGGTTTAGTTATGTAGAGATCACAATATTATAAATTAATTCTTATTTTTTTTAATTACAAAAATGTTTAGTGAGCTAATAATAATTATACTCATTAAAATAAGTAACTATCTAAATAATAATTAAAATTAAATAAATATGAATAGCTAAAAACAATAAAGTAAATAACAAATAATTAGCTATTGAATAAGGCACAAGTACCCCTAGATTATAACCAAAATTTTAGAGACATATCTCAACTAAACTAAGGTCCTATTACCTCCGATTTCATATTTTTGTAATTTTTTACACCTTTTTTACTTACATGGCATCCAAACATCTCCCACGCGCCTCAATTACATGGAGTCTGTCACGTAGGCCAAAAGTTATATAAAATTACAAAAAAAAATGAGTTCGGGGGTAATAAAACCTTGGTTTAGTTAAGGTGTGTCTCTGAATTTTGATCATAGTCTAGGAGTACTTATGTCCTATCCCAAAATAAATTAATACATGTTGGCATTTCATAGCGAGAAACTAAGTACAGAAATTAATTAAATTAACAAGGAAATAGCTACCCGCCACTGCCTTATCGATAAAGAAAATAATTAACAAGAAATTAAGCAAAGGAATTAAAAGTAATTAAGAAATTGACAAGACAAAAAATCCAAAGAAAAAAATTGATAGTGTTTTTTTACATGTATTAATTATTTGATTTGTTGTAAAATAAAATGCATTCAAAAGTAAATTGATAGGGGTAAATGTGAAATTTCTTATTTTAATATATGTATAGCTAATACCACATAACTTATTCCACCTTCTATTCCATATAAATTATACATATATTACCTCATAAGTTAGTAAATATTAGGGAAAAGGGTCTGAAAAATACTCCAACTTTGACCGAAATTGATGTTACGATACCAAACTTTATGGAGGACCTTTTACCCCCTACAATATTTAATAGTGTATTTTTAAAGGTATATATGTGCCCACGTGGACATGTTACTATTTATAATGATGCAATATTTATGATGTCCATGTGGACACATATATACCTTTAAAATACACTATTAAATAGTGCATGGGGGTAAAAGGTTATTTCCAAAGTTTGGTATTGTTACAATAATTTTGGTCAAAGTTCGGATATATTTCAAACTTTTTTCTCTAAATATTAATGATGTAGGATTACAAAAAGTGCAACCAAACATTATACAAAAATTAATATATGAATAACTTTTATACAATATTTGAAAACCTACCAACGGAACATTGTATAAATTAATGAAAGAATGACTTTTGTCCTACTTGCAAATCAAACCTGGAATAAAATGAATACATGAATAACAAATGTGTAGCTTAAACCAGCTACCAAACGAGTCCTATATATTTGACTCCAATTATCTACTAGGGAATTTCGTCAAGATTTTATTTCCGTTAATAAAGGTCAAGATTTCATTTCTGTTAATCGTTGTGGTACAATAATCGTTGACATTTAATAACATTGATCCATTATAAAATTGTATGATTTAAAAATATAAGTTAGCGTTCATAAAGTGATTTGTATATATTGGTTCAGTTCAAGCTTCAATTGAATTTTTGAAACTGTAACATTTTCTTAATTTGTGTGTGTATATATATATATATATTTGAAATTGGTGAGATCATAGTTTAAGAGTAAAGTGATATAAGAGAATGAATCGATTATCTATTAGCTTGTGTTGTACGGTCTATAAAAGTTATACCCAACTGATACAGAGAGTCCTAATATACACGAAGTCTATATATAATAACTATAGGAGATAAAATAGGATTAATAAAGTGATTGAGATAAACTATAATTCTAGAAACTGGAAAAACATTAAAACTAAAATAAGCTGATAAACAGAAAAGAAATTATTTAATCGTTATTACGCCCTCGCAAATTGCCCCAATGCAGTCCCCCTTACGGGATCATATGAAATTATTTTCAAATAGAATATAAATATTTTGTCTTATTATGTTAGTAAAGAAAACGTACTACTATCCACAGGAGCTAATTGTCATATGCATTTCCCATTTTGTTTGATCTTCTTACTTGCTGTCGATCTGATTGTGAATCTTCTTATTGTTTCAACATAAAAAAAAAGATATGAGCAGTTTATAAGTTTCTAATTTGAACGTTATGAAGCAAATAGAAGACAAAAATGATCACAAAAAAACTGATATTATTATAAATCTCATAAAAACTGCACATACAAACACAAGTAAAAATTTGATCACCAGCCATTTGAAGCTAACAAACTACACTTTCTCTTCTCGTTTTTTATATACTCCCTCAATCCCAATTTATATGACATAGTTCTAATTTCGAGAGTCAATACTTCACTTTGTGATGTTGTAGATGGTTGAAGAATCTTTATATTCGATAAGATGCTTGAAAAGAAACACGATGATTGAAGAATATGTAAATTTGATAATAGGCTTAAGAAGTGATTCATGTAAATAGAAAAATATTACTATTTAAAGATGAAACTAAGTAGACAACATAATGAAAAAGAAAAGTAAATGCACAACTGAACCAACAAACAAAAGTAAAAATTTAACAGACTAGTTTTGATCCCAAAAAAATTAGTACTAGCATTTTAGAATAGTCTCTTCCAAATAGGGTGTTGCATCCACACTCTTTCGACCATGGAATCAATCGGAACTCCCTTCGTTTCAGGCAAGAAGAAGAAGACGAATAATCCCATGACAACGATCCATCCGGAGAAAAAGAAGAAAATGTAGGCTTTCATAGTGCAAAGCATAGTCGAGAAAAGTTGTGCAATGATAGAAGTGAAGAGCATGTTTGTGCTGACTGCGAAAGCAAAACCAGTTGTCCTTGTTTCCAATGGGAGTGTCTCACTAGGAATTAACCAACCAAGAGGTCCCCATGACCACGCGAACGACATTGCACGAGAAACACCACTATTATTGCAAGTGTCCTATCCAATGTTCCCGTCTCAGACAAACTAGTTACCAAAATTGCTCCGATTGTCAATTGAGAAATTAACATTTGGCAACAAGCTTGGAGGAGCAGTTTTCTCCTTCCAACCTTGTCAACAAGGTAGATCGAAATGAATGTGCTGCCAACATTAACAATTCCAGTAATAACAGAGGACAGAAGCGAGGCATTAGCCTTGAAACCCATAGTCTGAAACAGAACAGGCGCGTAAAACATAATGGCATTGATTCTAGTAAATTGCTGAAAGATTTGCAACAACACACCAATCACAAGTGGCGGAATGCTAGCAGGCTTCAGTAAGTTCTTCAACGAATGCTTAACTTGCTTGGCTTGTTCACACGCTGCCACGATTTCTTTATACTAAGCTTCAACATCACTGACACCCCTAATCTTCATCAGCGAGACCTTCCCATGTTCCTCATTGCCACGCTCAACTAGACTCGTAGGGGTGTCAGTGTTGGGTTTAGCAAGGTGTGAATGGGAAATAAAAAAGAGAAAATGGAAAGAGGAAGAACCAATGAAAGTCATTGCAAAGTGCAAATGAAAAGTCATTTTTACCATATTGGTAGAAGAAAGGAAATTGTTGTCCTTATATTAGGAAACACTTTCTTTAGTTCTTAAAAGGTTAAGAAGAAGGTGCCCCTCGCGCCGTCGTCGTCGCTCGCTCGGCTTCGGCTTCGGCTTCGGATTTGGCAAATGATTTGATTGATAATATTTTTGGACAAAATTTATTTAATCAATCTTGTTAATTCATTTCTTTTCTCTTATAAATTAATTCAGAATGTTAGTTAAATAACAAAATTAATTTGGCGCAACAGAATTTATTTGAAATTCATAAGCAACGGAAATAATGTTTCGAAAAGTCGTTATTTTTCCCAAAAGACACAACTTTCCGAAAAAATGGGTCTGAACAGAATTGTCTAAACAGACGCATTCCTTGTTGTAAATGGCTATAAATAGAGATGTTTTTTCCAGTTTTAAACACTGAATATTTTTCCTCTCTACATACATTTTCCTACATAAACAAAATTGTCAATCGATTGAGTTTGTGTGTGCTCTTATTATTATTCTTGCGTTCGCTGAAGTTATTGAAGTTTGAGTTACCGCTACTTCTTTAACAGGTTAATCTGTTTTATCTTGGAAGGAATTAATCTGCAACCTCGGGTACAGTGAGGGG